CTCCCCGGAGCCTCGACTCACACGGCAGCACGTCTTTGTAGCGGTTCTTCCTTGCGTTTCCCGGCTGGCAGCCCGCCTCGGTGGAACACACGCCGTGAGTCTTCCAGGAGGCAGAGCGGGCCTGGATGTCCTGCGGGAGCATCGGGGAGGCCGAGAAGGGAGAGCAGCTGGGTCAGGGTCCTGGGTGGCCGAGGCGCTCGCAGGGTCCGAGGCAAGCGGCCCGGGGAGGGGCGTGCAGACCCCAGGAACCGGTGCCTGCCCCCAGGGCCGGGCAGCGACCGCGACCCAAAGCTCTGTCCGGGCGGTGTGCGGAAGGGGCTTCATCACCACTAGGTCTCCTAGAAGGCGTCCATCGTGTCGATGAGAAAGTGGATGCACCGCGAAGTCGTGCGACTTGCAGAAGCGCGCACCCAGAAAGGGGCCCAGCGCGGGGTGAACCCAGACCCCTCCGCCCCACCCTGCACGTTCGGTCTGTGTTCGAGTGTCTGTGAGCCGCGACGGTAATAAAGCAGGGTGTGTGCTCTATCCTGTCGCTAACGTGTGACAGTAGGTGATGACAGTGCCATGGGAATGAGGGATACGTACAACATTCTGCGTGGCAAGCGACCATAGCTACTTCCCGACTGGGATGGTTATAGATCGTGAGTGGTGTTGACACGATCATCGGGTGTCACCATCACCGTAACCATGAGTAACATCTCCTGCGCTACCGTGCCGGCCACCACTCTAACTGATGCCCTAGGGTCACTTTAGCCCTCATGGACCACCTCGTGCAAACGAGTTCCACCATGGGGGGGGGGGGGGCGTTTCTGCCTAGAGAATCCCAGGACTCCTGGAGTGGAGGTCTCGGGTCTCGTGGCAGGGGGGCCCTCCCCACCCAGCCTCTGCCAGGGGAGCCCTCAGCCCGGACCACTTAGGCCCTTGACGTCGTATGTCACATGGGTTTTACATGTTCATGCATATCATATGCATTGTCCTACTGCATAAATTATATATTTTACATTTGTTATGCATTTATTTAATTTCTTATGCACTACAGTATTTCTACACGGGCGTAGATTACGTTTATTTTATACATATCTAGTTGCTATATGTTTTATATTTACCTATGAACGTATCGAATAACTGGGCATTTTATAATTATGACCTGTGTTATATTTCGGTTTGTTGTATTGTTGTTTTATGGAGTTATATGTTTGTTGTGTGAATTGTCAGTCACATAACCATATTTGTTTTCATATATTTATGTCACATATTTCTAAATCTGATACTTGTCATCATATACTGCTTGCATATTTGTATAGTGTGTTTCGATATCTGGTACATAGTTGCTACATTTTAGACATTTCGTCACCCTGCCCGCGACGCTGCGCTCGCCTTCACCGCGCTGGGCTTGGGTCACCCCCCTGTCATGTTCCGAATCTTGTCAAGTAAAAACAAAGGCACCTACGAAGCGAGCGCTCGCTATGTGCCAAGTGCTTTTACCCAGCCCATTTAAACCTCAGGCCCATTTGGTCGCGAACGTCCCATTTTAACCCAGAAAAAATCGAGGCCGAGGGGCCAGGCAAACGGTCCCGGAACACAGCCCCAAAAGATCAGACGCGGTCTCGAGCCCAGCGTCCACCCCCTGGCCGCGCCCAGGCCTCCCAGGTTCTTCTCCCTCTGTTCCCAGCCCTTCCCCTCTGTGCTCGCAGGGGTGACAGGTCGCCAGGAACGCCCTGGCAGGTGGCCGCCCGCCCTCTCTCGCCCGGCAGCCGGGTTGCTCCGGGAGCCCGACGAGGACCTCGCGGCCCCTCCCCGTCCGGTTGTGGACTTTGCCCTCTGGGGCCCTGCGGGCTGAGGTGAAGACCGAGACACGCAAGAGAGCGACAAAGAGCGAGGTGCTGGGGACGGAAAAACGGAGAGACCACCCCGATGCGGGGACACCGAGAGAGGGGGGGGCAGAGCCCGTAGGGTGCACAGGACAGAGGTCTGCACGGTCCAGGACGAGGCGCAGAAGCACCACGCAGCTGTCCACACTCGCGCACTCACGCTGAATTCGCCGGCGAGGACCGCCCCCTCCCGGCCGCCCTGAGCCTCCAGCCGCTCCAGAAAGCTCCGCGCGGCGTCCAGGCTGCGGCTCATGGCGCCACGCGCCGGCGGGGTCCCGTCCAGACTGCGCTCCGCACTGCCAGCCGGTGTAGACACCGCGGGAGCCGGAGGCCGGCTGCGGGGGTTTGGCCTCTTCCTCGCCAGCCAATAGAGGCGCGCAGCGGCGGCAGGGCGCGCCCCGGGCC